CAGCTCACTCGTACGCCACCGCTGCTTACAAGCCAGCTGCATACAAGGCCTACTAATATTATTATTAACAGAAATATAATCTTTTCACAATGAATTTTAATTTTCTACTGTGAAAATCTGTTCTTATGTCTTACCATCTGAATATGATATTATCTAATTTGTTTTATTGTTAAAAATATAATAAATTATTTTAAATATTATAACAACTTATTTTTGTTTTTTATTCTATACAATTAGTAATGATTATTAAGACTTGCGTCATTTAACTTGAACGTTGAACGTGTTGTGTCCAAATACATATTATTTATTTATTGAAGTAAATGTCATCGTGTGACTAAGTATGGTACATCATATTTAAGTATGCAATCTATTATGATAATATAAAAATGAACACATTTTTATTCTTACTTATGATTAGTCATTAGTATATTATACTACTTTATAAATACGATTAAACATATCTTATATAAATATTAAAACTAAGGATTCAAAGATAAATATCAAAGTACAATAAATTATAAAGATATAAACATAAGGAAATGCATATAAAATTAGTTTAAAGATTACAAATAGCTTATAGTAAACTGAACAAAATAATTAAATTAATTACATTCTCGAGGAATACAAGTTATGGGATTGTATAGTAATGTGAAGTACAGTGGGTTTTTGTTGAAAATATAGGACAACAATGAGATAAATATCTTAGGGGCAAGAAAATGTATTAATTATAGTAATAAAAGACAAGATTTAATTATATTCAATTGTTAATATGAAATAAATATCTGTAAATCAACGCATAAAGCAAGTGATTCTTAATCAAAAGACTACCTTGAACATTTTTAAGAAGAATAATCAAGAAAAAGATAATGCCATAAGTGTTGTATTGTCTTTTATACAACGTATAAATTGTCTCTAAATACGATCGACCGATTCAATAAGACCGATTTGTGAACGGTGCTATAGAATTAAGGAATATTCAAGTATTAACTTGATAAAGAGTTAACGCTCATTTTAGGACTTGTTTGTATTCCTAATTAATAAAACAATATCTTAAAGATATTTGTTTAATATGACTTTAAAATAAAATGTCATGCTGAAATATGAACAAAAATATCTAACGTGGTTCATTTTTTTAAGATAAACACCATTAATAAAGTTTTCAGTCTTTTTGTATTTATTTTTTTAATTTTACGATAAGACAAAATGTTTACGTGCTTTAGGTGTGTTTAATTTGAATCAATTTTCATTACGCTAAAAACTAAATGTATATTAAGATCTCCCTTTACTTCACCAAAATATTAATTTTATTGGACATTGGTATATACTTAATGTAACTAATAAATATTTTATGATTATATAACTTAAAATAATAGATTATATAAATGAAAAAAAAAATGAAAAAGATAAAGGTTTTTATTATATTGTATAAGTTACTTTAGGTACTTAATCACATTATGACACTGATTTAAAATGTATCACAAAGACAATGTATGTTTTGAGCTGCGGTTATATACCATCTCACTAACTATATCATGCTGAGTTGTATTTCCTTATTGATGAACAATGGAATCGGTTTTTTTTTTATTATTGACATGTACTAATTGTTTTAATTTATATTAGTTTATCTAATAAACGTAGATACACTCATAAGGTTAACACTTTTAGTTAATAAATTAAATACAGTTAAATCAGTTATAAATATTATTATACTTATATCGTTTTGAATTTTTCGATTTGACCGTGCCCATGTCTTGGTTTTTGTACACGATAATAATGCTATTGGTCGGCCAACGTAATCTTCGTTGACGCGTTGCTGACGAATGTCGTGTGCTAACAATATTAGATTTTAATTCTTACCACAAAATACGAACGACAAAGATAAATATTTTATGCGATTTTTGTTATACACTATTTCATAGTACACATGGTATAGCTTTATCATTACACCTTTTTATAATACTGCTGTAAAAGACCGCGATCCATTGTTCCGTCCACTTGTCGACAGCCATCATATTATACTCAAGGGTGTATTGAAGCGTAAACGGCACATACTCACGAAAATCCATGACAATATAAAGAAATGCGCATACGTGAAAAAATTAATAATTTTATATGTTTTACGGTTAGTGTACGGCGAATAATAGCCTGAGGGCAATGCGATTGAGTGTATTATTTTATTATTTGTCTTATTCCGTTTTTAATTCTGCAGTTATTCGTGCGACCAACCACAACACTCGCGAATAATACTATGTAATAGTTAATATTGCTAATGTGTAGACTGATCAGGTGCTGAAAATATATTTTACGTTGGATAAAAATAGATTTACCTAATTAAACATAATTTATTTAAATTTATTTCCACAAGTAATATGGCTAATTTTATAGTGTTATTGTTGTTTTTGTTAGTGATGTGTATTGGTTGAGTGTAGAAAGGGTACAAAAGTAGGCATGTTTATTGAACAATCAATTTTCGTGTAGGGTGAGAACAATTTTTCAGAGATACATTTTTGGACAATATATGGTGTACGCTCAAAATATTATTTACCAATACGTCCTTAAAGCATTTTGTTCACGATTACTACGGATGTCGGATATCATTTTACAATTCATACCCATTACTATAATTTACAAGGTATCGTGGTACGACACGCCTAAAAAAAATCCCCACCTTCGAGGTAAAAATATTCAGTGAGTAAGATATCTCGCCTTTTACACGTAGTGGGTACGCGTGTAATATAATTTGTAGTGATCGGAATAATCTCGCCGCCGTTTGTTCGCCCGGACGTAAAAACAGTTAATGGTACCTACCGCCGATAAAATTAGCGTGTGACGTGTACGTTAGAGATTGTTGGAGAAGGAGCGATCGCGGCTCGATACTACCTAATATGTTATCGTGGTTATACCACAGTTACCTATAGTACCATCGCGCAATGTCGGTCGTCGTGACTGGTAGCCACACGGTAGCAATTTATAATAATTCAACTCCACAGTCGCATTCATCACAGATGCCGCAGAGGTTCACTATATTGATAATGTCGTTGCACGGTCAATGTGCCACACAAGTCGTGGCCTACGGCAGCGACAATTACTTTTTAACGCGTTAATAACTATTGTTATTATTATTATTATTATTTTTTTTTTGACGTGTTTTTACCGCTTGTCAAAAACGTCGGTATTAGTGCGAGAAATTCGAAAAAATCCTCTTTAACAGCAAAATATTATAATTAAAGCGCGGATTTGTATATATTTGCATATTTATTCTGATTGATCGTATGATGTGTAAAGTGAGCACAAAATTTGTTTCACGACATAACGATTTCAAAAATGATACCATTTTAGTGCAAGTTTTTGAATATTTCAACAATTTTCTGTTTTAAGGGCTTCTTTTACAATTTTAATTGCATACCTATTTCAACTTGTAGTGCATATTTTGATGTTATTTTTTTTTTTTTTTAGATATTCTTTTATATACTATAGTAGTCTATTATATAATGTAAGAAAAAAAAATTATACTTATATAGTTTCGAATAATATCAAAATAAATTAATAGGTATAAACGGTTTTCAAATATTACCTTAGATCAATAATCAGGAAAATAAAATATTTAGATTAATTTTATCAAGATAAAAAAATATTAATTACGGTCAAGATTGAACTAGTGTTCAATTAACATTATTTAACATTATTTCACTATTGTTCAAAAAATAAGTTTTTTATGCATATTTTTTAATTTTTCGTGCATATTTTAACATTTTAGTGCATATACTCGTATTTACGTATGCATATTTAAGATTTTTAGCACATATTTGGTTGGTTTTTAATAAATGTAAATCCGCGCTTTAATTATAATATTATAACGCGTGTTCAATAAATACGCATCATAATAGCTATCGAACACCAGAATAAATATTTTAAATGTATATTAGGTATTCTACAGCTATGTTTTAATCATTTTTACTAACAAAAAAAGTAAACGATAGTATACGCGGAATGATTTTTTTTTCTAATTATCAACTAAATATTGAAAAATGTAGTCTAAAATTGAAAAAAAAAAATCTTAAATAATATTCTACTTAAACTGGATGCTGTCAATCTTTATTTTTTACACGTACTACAAGAAACAATTTGAGAACTTTTTTCTATTGACATTATCTATGCAATACATATTAATATAAAACTTCGTTAGTACCTATAATTTTTTTGAAACTACGAATCATTACTTACCTTTATTTAAAAGTGTGTGTTTATTTCACTTTAAGTTCTCGTAACCTGTAATTTTAAATATTAAAATTAAATTAATCATAGTTAAAATTTAGTATGATAAATAGAATACATTTTGTAAGAGTAATGATATATTAAATGATTTAATTGATCATAAATTTACATATTATTTTCAATTTTTTTTTTTTTTATTGTATCATTCAATTATTTAATCAACAATAAATAATTAATAATAATTGATACTTCTAGTAATGTTTAAGCTTTAAAATAATTTTTTTTCATAGTATAAAGTTCTGAAATACTTTTAAATACAAAAAGAAATATATGATAATTATATATTTTTTGATAATCATACAGTATGGATTTTTAGTTTAAAAAAATATATTTGTATCGAATATTATAAGACGTGATAATTTTTATTTTACACTAGTTATAATAATATAATAAATAAATTTCTGCAATACTACTTAAATAATTATGTTATATAGGTATTTAAATTATTCAATACATATTTATATTGTAATAGTTGTAGAACTTTATGTTTTACCGAAAGCAATGAGATTATTTTCCTGAAATTATATTTTATGTGTATATATATATATATATATATATATATGTATATACAGAGTAATTCAAAATTTCTGTTACAGCTATTTCATTACATAAAATATTCACAATAAAGAAAAATGTTTTATACGAAAATTCGTCTTTAGAAATATTTTAAATTATTAGTAATTATATTTTTCTACAATATTTTTGGGAGAAGTTTTAGAAGTCAACTTAAGAAATTCAAATTAAAACCTATACTTTTTTTTAGTCATAATGTGAACATTTTTTCGGAGTATTTTGATACATAAAAATGGAAATTTGGACGAATAAATAATGAGTTTTAAGTATTTAAAATGTAGGTAAGCGAAGTAGTAGGCTGGCGTTTTGTGACGTTTCTTCATACAAAAAATTCTTTACTCTATAATTGCAAAATAAGTAGGTAAAGATGCCCATTTGAGTTATTTAATATGACCTCTAAAACCTCCTAAAACACTGTAAAAGACTATTTTATATATTTTCAAATAAAAAACTTGCGTATTAATTTTTTTCTCTATTATGAATATTTTTTATTTACATAATAAAACAGCTCTAACATACATTTTGAATCACAATGTTTATATAGGTCAACGATTTAAAGTATATATTACTTTTATTGGTATTAAGTTATAATTAATAACGATGTATTTGAAGGCCATAATAAATTACGGTGTTCAGTAGGTACATAGAAAACTGTTTAAAATGGAACATAATATAAAGGGTGTTCGTAGAAAAATAATTATATTTTTGTTACATATTTTACATGCAAGGTAATCCATTTTTTTTTATTCATTTACACTCATGATTTTGAAAAGTATTAATTTATTTTTTACATAATTTTATACTATAAAGATCAACATTGTTAAAAAAAAAAAACAAAAATTCATCACGAATTTTTATTGTAACTATTATTTCATAAGATTTTACTTTTTTTTAATAACACCATATATTTACGTTTTTAATTTCATGTTTTCAATGAAATATTTTGAATTTATATTAAATATACAGATCAAATTTTAAATTAATATAAATTAGTTTATTAGATATAAGTTACTATTACATAGAAGTATTTAAATTAAACATGGCAAAGTAAGGTGGAATAGAGATAAATCGCAAAATATTGGACATGTGTGATAAGTTTATATGTATTATTTAGGTATTTAAAATCTGATGAGTGAATGAATTATTTATTCAAAGTTTGATATTTATATATTAAAGTAATTTTAAAAATATTTTAATTATTTAAAAAAATTGTAATAATTTTATTATTCTACATATTCGTAGAATTTTCACATCTTATCACTCACTGTAATTATAAGATTAATTTTTCAATCAGAAAAAAATATTATGTCAATATATAACAGTTAAAAGATATCAAAGCTGCAAAAGATACATTTATTTTGCTATAAAAGGTGATGCCAGACACAATAATAAATCAATTAATATTAATCTAAAACAAAAACAAACATTATGAAATAATAAGTATTTAAAGTTAATAATAATATCGTCCTGTATATGTATCACATATTATGTGCTTGTTTTAAATTTGTTAAAATAATTACTTCGCAATAAATTATTAGAAAATAATATCTTGAATATACATTTATTGAAATTTCAGATTTTTTTTATTTTGTGCTATTTTTAAATATACTACTCTTACGTATTCAAGTTATAATATATTTCAGATAATAGTTGTGCGTGTTAATGAATAAATATGGCAACATGAAACTTTGATTGAAAATAAAATTATATGTTATATACTATATTATCATATTATACGTTATATAATGATATTAAAATTACCTACATATTATATTTCAAAAGACTAATACTGAAATAAAATAAATAAAATATTATAATATTTTACAGAAATAAAATAATTAATTATTAAAAAAATTAAAAAAATTAACACAATTCATAAAAAAAAAAAAACAGTGGGTAGTTAATGAAAAAAAAAATTAATTTTTATCTTTTAGTGCTAACAGTAATTGTATCATTTACGTAATTGTTACAAACGTAGGGACAGTAACCACGTTTTTAGCGTTTGCATATTATTATTATGTTATACATATAATTATTACGATACTATTAAAACAAGATCGCCCATTCGTGCAACATGTAGTAATCGCATGCATAATAAAGAATAGGTACCTATTACGATTTCGTAGCCCAGGCACATGAAATAATACATTTAGAGAAAGTTAAATGCACTTTAGTTTTCTGTGCGTAAAAACCGCACATAACGCAAAAGCCCACTTACCCGAGTAAAATTAATTCTCTGTACCTACCAAGTCTATGACATACTATTATTATTGTCATTATTACACGTTCGTTGTTACAGTTTCCTATAACATCGGACAAATGTATCTATTTCGAAACATTGGACTTAACTCTAAAATCTATTTATCATCACTATTTGAATCTCGCATTTTCGAAATATCAATTTGACTTATCAAAACATTTTTAACTTCAACATAAATATTATGTAATGCAGTTCCATGTTCGTTAGATAAACGCATGACCGAACAATGTCTTAACGTCAGTGAACGTATAGGTAGGTACTAGACACTCATATACAATAAAAATGGCTGCACGCAGAGAATGAGATCCGAATCGCTCTAGAAACGTAAAGACATTATTGGTACAACGATTTTGAAAACAATAACATGCTCACGTGCTATAATGTGTTAATTAAAATGATAGTTATATTTACATATTTACATAACTATGTATCAAACATCGACAATGGAAAGCCATTACAATAGTCAATAAATATTTAACAATGTATATACAGTATCCCGTTACTTATTATGATATATTTATAATAAATATAGATCACAAAACAAGAATTTGATAGTCAAATTTTAAAACCTTATTTTTTTATTAAGAATTTTTTGGTTTAAAATGTCTTTAAAAATAAACACCGTTGTGTAAAAGTTTTATGCAAATAAACTCTAACGACCCACATTTTAATATTACACACAAATAAATTACTATATTTTGTTGTTTTTTTTTTAACTGATTAAGTTTCAAACATAACGCGATCTTTTACACGTAACTTTTTATTTATACAATTATTCTTTAAATTACCAATTTTAAATGACAAACTTCTAAAATTATTTAATGTGTTTATTTTGATTTCAGTATATTTGTTGTTGTTTTGTTTCATTTTACAAAACGTATGTTTCCCGACGTATTTAAATCAAATTTGTAATAAACTAAAATTATTTTAAATTTAATAATGCAACTAAAAAAAAATGTGTACGTTCACATATTGGTTAAGGACTTAAATCTAGTCATTCTACAGTAAAATGTAAAAAATGTAAAAGATATATGCGCATAATGAATATATAGAAATATTTTGACGGTGAAAGTAAGCTGTCATCTCCGGAATCTAATCATGTTATTTTGCTCAGAAAATAAGTTTAAAAAGGATGATGGCACAAGAGGAGTATTTGGCTAAATATGTCGAGAAAAATTCAATTTCACATTAGTTTTCCCTCGATGTATTGTTGACTTCGGAACGAATCGTATACTGATGTACTGATGGATTTAGCCCCATTATTTACACTGTGAAAAACTCTATGGGTAACATATGCATATCATATCATTTATATATATATATATATACATAAATAAAAATATAAATGACACTCAAATAAATGTGCCATAGAATTTATCATTCTTCATACGAGAATGTTTTTGGCTTAAACTTTTTTATTTTTTGCAATAAGCGAACTAACTTCGAAATATTTATTTTTTTAATTCCTAACGAAATACTAAGATAATTCGGTTTTTCGAATAATATAAGTATATAGTCTATTTCGTATTAGTACGTGGTCTATAATGATAGTCTATACCTATCTAATGTTTTCGGTGGTTAATATGATAATAACAAACAATTTGATGAACATTTGCAAAAACAGTCGAATAACTAATACATTTACATAAAGAACGTAGAAACATAGATAATATTCTCAACTTCAATGTTTTTAAGTGGTTGATTCACTCTGAAATTAAATATACAAACGTGAAATTAGTTCTCATTAAGTATGACTATGCGCAACAAAATAGACGAAATGCCTAGCTGTATGATATTGTCATTTGCAAGGATGTGTATTACGGTTATCATAAATTTGTAAATACCGACATTAATTGTATAACCATTAAGAGACATTCACAATAACATACACTGACTAATAAATGAGTGCCAGCAAACGTGCTACCAAACTACGTTTCACATTGTGACAAGTAGTCGTGATATGGGTAAAAGTAGACACACTGCTACGCGTAATATCCGAGTAGGATGTTTAAGTGACCCGGTGGATTTTCTAATCACAAACTTTTTGTTGAAATACAGCTGTATGAACTAATTATTCTATTAAATCCCGTGTATAAGGTACACCGAATAACATACATCTGCCTACAACTTTAAATGCCTTAGCTATGACTTTCCTTAATGCAAAATAAT